AGACCAGGTTTCACGGGTTAGTATCTAGTCACTTCCCTCAAATACAACACTAAAAGCGAACAGTATTTTTTGTTTTGTTTCATGTTTTTGTTTGTAGTTTTTTCTGTTGTTAATGCTCAGAAGCGATGCTAAATGTAACCTTCCCTCCTTCCCCATCAAGCAGTTGTCTGCTCTTGGCACCACTGAAATCATCCCATTCCCCCCCCCAAGTTATGCTTTGGAGCTCAGAGGTCAAACCCCAATCGTGGCTCTTGTCAACCCTTTATGAATACCACATTTGATGTTTTTACTTCTTAAAACTTATTACTATGCCCACCCCTTTTAAGTTCAGCTATGTATTCCTGTAGATTTGAAGGAGTTAGATAACACGTTGTGCATGTGATGCCTTATATTTTTTAAGTAATCTATCACGCAGAGTGGGGCATTGGTAAACTGAAATATCAGTACACGTCAGAACATTATAACCAGACTTCTGTTTCTCTTTGATTAGTTCAAGGCGCACAGTTAATTAAAGGGCATAAACTTTAAATGGTTATTAAAGTTGCAGCAGTATGCATGTGATAGTTGATATCTGGTGGGGGGCGGCGGGAAGATAACCGATCGTTTGCTGTGGCAAAATTTGCTAGTGTCTAAAGTGTGTTCAACTTTTGCGAATCCGCAGCGCGATTATTTGGTCTTACATCACACATTCGTGTTCGCTTTTACACCAAGTAATAAAATCTGTACGATTTTAACCTTGAAAGAATATTGTGTATAACTTCTTAAGCACCTACTGCACATTAATTGATCTATTAATTGATTCATATCAATGAAATATTGAGGAGGTTTAATGATTTTGCATATCTTGTACATTCACTGTAATATGACACCTGATGCTTACTCCAACATCCTTTTTTTTTTTATTTTTCTTGGAAAACAGACTAACAGTGGTGGACATGATTCCTGGTTAAATTTAAAGAGAGAAAAAAAAGGCCACATTGAAGGAACTTACATGAATTTGAGAAAAATAAGACATGTAAATGAAATTTCACATTTTTGCTTTGTACATGAACTTGCCTGAAAAGAACTAACAGTTCAATCTTTTTTATTTGTGAATCCTTTAATTTGATTGTTCCTTTTAGGGTTGATACTTTATTTGGGCACAACAGATATAATGTAGTACTTATTATTTCCAAGTGCATGTGTTGTCAATAAATATTACCCTTGCCTTGTAAACAAAAGCAAGAAGTTATACCATCATTCGATTTGTGGATATCAAAAAAATATTTCTTGGAATGTTGTAACAAAACCCCTGAACAATTTCTTGACGTTCACTTCCTTAAGAAAACAAAAATTCCCATCAGAAGTGCAGCCATACATGTCTATTATTTAAAACACACGTTCAAACTATTCAATATTGGAAAGGAAATCAGGGCATCTCTAAACATGCATTTTTAGAATTGCATCTTCCTAACAATGACTGTTGCACACTCGCTTGGAGCCCAGTGTGCATTGACGGAGCAGGGCAGTTCATCCCTGTAGTTGCTGGTATTTCCTCATGTGGTGAGCGATCCCGCCGGCCACTTGCTCGTCCGTCTTGTTTTGGCCAAAGTAATCCACAAACTGACCATCGGGATTCAGCAGGTACATGATAATTGAGTGGTCGACCTGAAAAAGACCCAAATCAAAAATTCATCTGGAGCACTGCCTCCTTTGAAAGACACCAGGTTTGTTTGTAGTGCGCGAGTACACAAGGGATCTTGTGATAGCAGTCGACTAAAAACCTGCTCCGTTTGCTAAGGCAACAATATTTGGAGCTGTGTCTCTAGTCGTCGGTACAAATTTTTGAAAAATTACCAGCTCAATGTACATTGCACCAACTCAGCTACAGAGGGTTTGCATGGCTGCCATCTTGCTGGGCATGCACAAAGGAGGTTTCCCTGTGGAACAAAAGAACTGCCCTATAAGATGGCTACCACGCAAAGCCCCTATTCAGCTGAGGTGTCACAATTAATCAGATATCCTACTGAAAAACAAAACGATTTAAATCACAAGGCTTGGGTGTGCCGATTCGAGGTCAATCAGCCATCAACTTACAATGTAATCATTATCCTCATCCTTGGGTCCTTGGCTGAAATAAATGCGGAAGTTTCTGGCTATTTCTTCCACCTGTTCCTTTGTTCCCGTCAGGCCAATCAAACCTGGATAGAATTCTGTGGTTAAAAAAAACCTTACATTTGTCAACCCTGCCCTGAATATTCATGCCAGGCATCTGTCCAAACGCTCCAAAATCTTTCACTGAGTCGGAAACCAACAGAACACATTCTCTTAAACTTCTAAGCTCAACAATCTAAAAAGACCCCTAGGTACAGCAGCGATGACTGGGCTCTACCCTCCTCAATCCTTCAAATTCTCCAAACTTCCAAATGGATTCTGAGGGATCTAGGTGCATATTGCCATTCATACATGAGTGTCACGGGGCTGCTTTCCCCCAACCCCAAAGGAAACAAATTAAATTTAAAAAAAAGAAATCAAGAAAAGGAGATGAAAGAGATGCAAATAACCAATTGATGTTTTATCAGTTCACACCTGACAAGTGCTCTCCTGTCCTCGGATATCCTCCTATTGAAAACAATAGTTCCCCTCCCCCCTAAAAAATCCTGGCGACACCAATGCCATCGTAAACGAGGGGTGTGAGTGGCCACTCAAGATTTAAGCTGAAAACAGCTAGCAAAAAGCTGAAATGTAAAAAGTCCCCATACTTTTGTACAGACCAGGTGTACAAACAAGCTGAAATTCAGGGTCAACATCTACACAAAAAAACCGAAATCACCTAAAAAGCTGAATTCTCACAACCCTGATAAACTGTGGCTCAAACACAATTCGAGAACCACGTGTAATTTGTTTAGATATAGGACCTAATTCAAAGGAGCTTTATTTCCACGCTAGACCTGAAACAGCAGAGAACCAGTCAACGGCAGTAATACACATGTACATTAATCATTAGCTGGTAATCATTTTCTTTTCAACAATCAGATATGTTCCCTGCTTTAGATTCATGAAATCAGCTTCCTGGTTCTCACCTTTGACGTAAGCCCCCATGACTTCAACCGTGTCTCTCTCGGGATCGATGGAGATAAAAAGTGGCGTGATGTTTGGGAGGTTGGGACTGTTATCTAGCAGAGACCAGAAAAACCAGAAAATTTCACTGCATCATCGAACGGAAACGTTTTTTTTTAGATGGGCTGGCACCTTGTGCCGATTTCACATGGCAGACGAGTTATCCCCGGCATTTGTTAGCAATTTTACTCATCTGTCCCACGGTTTTTATTACATGTTAGAGGCTTTCATTGTAGCTTCTCATCATTGCATAAAAATCCAACAAACTTCACTGATGGCGACTGTTTTGAATCAATCAATTTCCAACAGAAAGAATATAAAGGGTATTTTCTTTTCTGCACAAAGCCTCATATTAAAGAACTTGACGCTGCCTTTGTGGGTATACGCTCAAAGTTATGTTTATTTTCTCTGTATTTTATTGATTGGCAAAAGCAATATACAATGGATAAGCAAAACAGAAATCACAAACTATGAAGGTAAAGTAACTGGGAATGAAGTTACGCTTATTTGCTGGATACAGTCAACAATTCAATGGACAAAATCTGGCAAGTATCTTTTTTCAAACTCACTTATTTTCTCCACTGCTGACACCATCTTTTCCAGCTCGTCCGGGCAGATGTCTGGACAGTGTGTGAACCCAAAGTACAGCAGCAGCCATTGGCCCAGGTAATCTTTGTTTGTTTTGGGCTTGCCATTGTGGTCGACCAATGAAAACGGGCCTCCGATGGCAGCTTTGCCCAGGGCCTTACTCCTCTCCTTTTCGATTTCTGAAAAGACCAAATAAGAAGATATCCACGTAGGTTTATCTCGACTGAAGATGTTGCACCCCAACGAAAGCATAAGTCCAGTCCCAACTGCAGTTGGGCTGGCCCAACTATTGTTAACCAACGTCTGTGAGGAATGTCTCAACATTATCCAAGTCAATGTGTCTCACACTTGACACAATTCATCTAAAATGTGACACTTCATCTGTTCATCTAGCCCTATGACCGATGACATGACATTTGTAAACAATATGACTTTGGCACATGCTGGGCACATCATGCACACAGGACTTCTCTGCTGTAGTTGGGTAGGCCCAAGTGTACCACTCTAGTTGGGACGGCCCAACTATAATCGAGACTGATGCTAAAGCTGGGGCGTAACAATGACACCAAAACCCAAAAGCAAATCCATACTTTTGCATGTATGACTGGCCGGCATTACATTCTTAAAAATTGGGGTCTTTCTTGTCCAATGCATATTACTGGGGCGCAAAAACTATGCCAAACGCAGTGTACACTCATGCATGTGCCATTCTCAGCGGTAACCACATGCATGCACATTGCAATGTGGACGTAGCCATTCACTACCATGCCACAACATGCAGCAATGACTGAACCCAACGACGTAATCGCTTCACAGTCCGTTGCACACTCTTACCAAGTCTCTTCTTGCGCTGGGCGATCTTGAACCCGACCAGCAAGGAGCCGCCCAGCACGAACGTCACCAAGACTGTCTTCCAGGTAACAGGCTGGAAGGAGTGACAACCAGAAACGTTCCTTAGCCATAAACCAGCGGCAAGTTTAAGGTCTTCTGTCATGATTAATTTACCACAGTATATCCATGAAGGTTCAGATAAACGACTGTAGCCTAAAAGCCATGTTCTTGTAAACATTGCTTCTTGAAATGCAGAAGTGGGACATGCTTTTTTTCACACATAAAAGAGATGCAAATATGACATAGCATTTTTATAGACTTTTCGCTGATGTCATAATAAAGCCCTTGTTCAGGGCACTTAGCCCTTCTGTGCTTCACGTGTCAGAGATGAAGTTTTGTAAAATATCACAGAGCCACAGTTGCTCAAATGAGGAAAATCCCCCGGGCCCCAAGAGTGGTTCCACTCACCGATTTTCTGTCACCTCCTTTATTAGCACTTTCTGCCCCTTGTGAAGCAAAGGGTCGCCGAGTGAGGACCACTCCCTGAGTACTTCTGGTGGTTGGGAGTTGCATGAGTCTCTGTGACTCACTGTTGCAGAGGTGATGTCCATTGCCAATGCAGCTCAGGTGACGGCATAGGTAACACTATACAGAAGCGGAAGAGTGCAGGAGAGACAGGCAATTATGAGTACCAAGTAGACTTCCATGAAATTTTAAAAACAAATTATAAATGCAAATCTAAAGCACATCAAGGAGTGTCAGAAAGATAGCTCTGGGGAACTTGTGCTAGGCTACTGTAACAATCTGTGCCTTTGAATTTTGAACTTCATCAAACATGTCAAATTAAGCAGCGGACTGGAAGTTGAACAGTGTTTGCCTCCCTTCACCATCACGATCATGTCCATGTCCTTGACATGATGCTTGAATCATCAGGTGATATGTGGGTCTACTCATTTATTAGGCTCACTTCCAAAAAGCCTAAATGGGATGTCATGCAAAAGCTTGAAAATTAAATGACTCTGTGATTATTGTTTGAACAATAAAAAAAAATCTACAAGTACAACTACAAGTAAGTGTGCCTGACATGTCCGACGTTAAAGTTTCCGTCATCATGGTCATCAACAATTACATGTAAGTGGTACGACTGACGACGAACCTTTTCGCAATTAGCTGAACTCCTCGAAAATGCACCGCCCGCCAGACGCAAGCAGAGTCTTGATGTAGGAAGCATAATTACCGATGCAATATAAACAGAAAACTGGTAAACGTTTTTGTCAGACTGATTAATTTTAAAAATGAAGAGGGTAAAAAATGCTCGCGTTACTCAATTTATGTAAGTCGCCATTGTAAACTGCGCAGGTTATTTAAAATAAAGGTAAAACTAAAAGGCTCGATCTTACACGAATTTTATGCATTTATTTTCAATTAAATCTTAATTTTATGAGACAAATCATATCTGTTAACTTTTAAACTATTTTTCAGATTATCATGAAGTATTTATGACATAATATAAGAAAAATAATTGGCCTACATTTTGTCGGATTATAATAATTTTAATACTAAGCTAGAGGGTTCATGCATAGAGCTCTGTGGTTCATCTAAAATAGGGGGCGCTACTTTCATGATATGCTGATACAACGAAATAGCGCGGCATTGCGCTACGTACGTACTCTGCACATGCTCTAGCTCTGCCAAATACCTGTAACTGTTAAAATGGAAGTCGAACGGAGACGTGTAGACACTTTCGAGGGCACATTTCAAGCCCTAAAAAATGAAATTGCAAAGCAAGATCCGACGGTGCTTGGTGTTGTGGTAGCTGTTGTGGTTGTTTTGATAACTGTTGGTAAGAATTTGACAGTTGTTAAACGAAAATGTCGGTGCACAACAACCATATGTTGACATGCATGGTTGATTGGTTGACTGTTTTTCTTCTTTAACAATTAACCAGTCATGTCACTTTCCATGACTAACTTCGAGACAGTTACTAAGGCCTAGCGCTAGCGCTCTTTCGACTGCAATTTGTAAAGCTTACTATGCTGGCATGGTTTGGCATGTCGGGGTGGGAGTGTGCGGGAGGAGTAAGGGAAGCTGTCTTACTCTTAGGCATGTTAGAGGTCAAAAAGCATGTAACTTTAAGCACATCCCAGCCTGGTTGGGAAAGATTGAGTTGTGCTGTGCTATTTAATTTGTTGAACAAGCATCAGACATCACAACAGAATAACTCAGCTGTATAGCAACATTAATTTAACTAGTACTCTTAGTAGTAGGTCATAGTTTGCCTAATGAGTATTTTTCTATTAAACGTACTTGCATTTGTTTACTAGCATAGCCCTATGGAAATTAATTGTAGCTTTGGTTTCAATCAAATTTTACATGTCACCATGCTTACTGAACATGCTGAAGACATTTGTATTGGGATTCATGGCTCTAGATGCTCGAAATACATGTAATGTGTGAGAAGTTAAGAACAATTCATCGGCATTAGAGCTTGTACAGTGATCAGTGTTAATTGACACTAACTTGTTACTCCGTTATTGTAGTCTGGACTTTTAGCTTGTAATCAACACTTGTGCAGTTTAACACTTTTGTTTTAGGAAGTCAACTTCTTTGTTTACACAGCTTTCCTTTACCTCCTGGCGAGACGGAAAAACAACAAGCGCTCTGTACTCCTCATGGGGATCTGTGACGCTGGCAAGACATTGCTCTTCAGCAGGGTAAGGCCCCCAGTTGAAATGATAGCTTAATTTCAGATAGATTAGAACCCTCCTTTTGCTGTAACCGTCAAAAATTCCTTCCACTTGATTTCCCCCAGTACACAGACCCATATGGGAAATTTGACTGATTTTGACTGATATGACAACTGTATCAAGAATGCGTCTTTGCATAGGAGGGTTCTAATTAGTTGAAAAAGGCAAGCCACTGTGAAAGTGAAGGTTACCTTTCTCAGGGTGTAGCCATATTTATATACGAACAAAAAATTCTCTGTCAAAACAACGCCAAAATTCCATGACAGAGAGACTTTCAACAAGAAGTTGGTGCAAACGTTTAGAATTGGGAAATGGCAAGTTTGATAATCATACTGTGGAATTTGGCTGTTTTTCTCAGTTGGTTCACAACAAGTTCATCAACAGCTTCACCTCCATTAAGGAAAACTCCGGTGTCTACCAGCTGACAGGGAGGAAATCGGGAACCCTTGAGGTCGTCGATCTTCCTGGGAATGACCGGCAACGTATGATATTCTGGGAGCGTTTTAAAAACCAAGCAAGGTACGCATGTGCACGTGTTGGGATACTCAACCTGCCAGTAGTAATGTTGCTTTTAAACTAATGAGAGCTGGATCGTTTTTATCCCAGGAAATGTGCCTTGTGCACAAATCATGCCACAAGTGAAACAGCGGTTCCCTATCGCACTGAGGCTGCGTCACACTTACTTGGGCACTGCTTTGCAATATCTTTCAGGTCTACGGAAAACGGCTGCAGCCACTGGTTAGTGGCCATCATCCAAGTATAAGGGATGTCACACGTGTCTGTAAGTAGACCGGTGTGTGGCAACAGCGCCACCATGTGTCAGAGTGGGCATTCCTCTTGTTGCTGTCGCCTCCGCTGTTGGACTATTTGCTTCGCACAACTCTTCAGCTATAATAACACCAATAGAGATCAGAGCCGAGGTGTTTCTGTGTCCTTATTTTGAAATCAGGCGCACCCCCACCGAAATAGGGCCCCTGCCACATAAGCATGCGTTACAGTCAAACCTCCTTAATAAGAGCACTGACGATACATCATTCTACTTATACCAAGGATATTTTTGGGTCCCAATCCTTTCTTCTTCATTGTTTCATTCCTGATAATGCAAGGTTTCTGTTATAACAAGGTGATCCGTGAAGTCTGAGCGACCTACCGTTAATGAGGTTTGACTGTATTTCCAACCTCAGCGAAGTTATTCACACTAGGCTTGTCATTTGGAAGTGGCAGACAGGTGCCCCCGGTAGCGTGCGGGCAGAGCATATGATTGTGTGTACTGGCGGTGCGATGCCTAGACCATTTCTCATATAAAAGGTTGGATGTTGTTTTTTTTTTCACACCCTGAAAATCTCCAGGGGGCTGATTTTCGTCGTGGACAGTGCCGCCTTTCAGAACGAGTTGAAAGAGGTGGCGGAGTTTCTCTACACCCTGCTGAGCGACTGCATGGCCAGCCGCACCAAGCTGTCTGTGCTCATCACCTGCAACAAACAGGATGCGGCCATGGCTAAATCCAGCAAGGTCATCCGGGACAAGCTGGAGAAGGAAATGTAGGGCTCTTATTCCAGTAGGACACATCTTATTTTTGTCCAGAGAGGACAGTTCTGAAGGTTGCATTTTAACAAGTGTTGACGGTAGCAGGAATGTTGTATGCGGTCCTAATGCTTGTGATTCCAAAGTCCAAAGTTGGCATTACTCTGTATACAGCGCCAGGGAATTTAGGGTGTCCGACCTGCCAATCGCTGTAAAACTAGGCGTCTTGCAACTACGTAGATTGGCTAATTCAGTGGTCAGTGAATATGGGAGGCCATTGGGGCAAAAAAGACAAACAAAAATTATAAAGAAATGCAAGAAATATACATATACATACAAAAATATAATACAAACAGAAAATATAAACCACGAACGAAAAATTGTAGCGCTTATGATAAATATAAATACAAGTGAATCGTATAAATACGACAGACAATTCTTAGTTCTATTTATTTACCAGCAACACCCTACGGGTGACCAGATCAGCATCCCTGGGCAGCACTGACGGTTCGGCCGGCTCCGAGGCCTTCCTAGGAGCCCGGGGGAAGGACTTCGGCTTCGCTCAGCTCTCCCCGGTCAGCGTGGAGTTCGCCGAGTGCAGTGCCAAGGGCAATAACGAAGAGGATGGACAGGCGGACCTCAACGCAGTGGAGGAGTGGATACACAGTATTGCATGAGTGGATTCACCATGTGGATCCACCTAATTGATTAGGTCAACAGGTGTTTAGAAATGGATGGATGCACCTCTTGCGATAACTGGCCTACTACAGTCCACACGAACATTCGGAGAGGATGTCTGCTTGGTGTATTTGTACAAGGTTTCTGTGCCTGCCACGTCTATGAAACCAGCCCTCCCAGAAATGCACATTGCTCATGATGTTTTTAGTGACGGACACCTTTCCATAAGCACATTCTCAGTCTGGTCTGTGTCTGGTTACGTGTTCTGCTCTTTTCTTCTGCAGTGTCTCCCTAAATTTATGAAGACGGACATAAGGCTCACTGCTTCACTGGAAAGGTGTCCTTATTGTGAATGTGTACAGGATTCTTGACTCATTGTCCCTGTTTTGGAAAAAATAATCCTTGTGATGTACTCCTCAGAATGGGATTAGCCACTGAAAAACTTGTACAGTATGCTAACTTCATCTAGCTAAATACATGGAGGACGATTTGTTTAAAGAGCCCTCGTTATCTGTATTTATGTAAAGCGCGACAGTTTTAATTGGCTGATATCTACCATAGCAGCCCCAGAAGCTCACATCCCTTTTACGTTATCAGAGGTTACACAATGTTTAATTGTCCAAGTTTGCTGAGAATTAAAACACTTGCCAGTACAGGAAGCACTTTCTGATGGGTGGAGTTCCCCATTTCATTCTTGCCAAGATTGACCTTTGACACGAACCAACATGTTCTCCCTCACACCTCCATCTTGTCCAGATGCGTAGGGTCCCTAGTCATATGTGTTCTTAAGCCTGTGTTAATAAGGCTTGGCTACGGCTGGCAATGACATATGCACCAATAAGCCACTTGCAAGTTAAATTTGAATAAAATGTGGTATACTGTGTTTTCTGATTGCACAGAAATGTAACAATTTGAATTCCCCAGACTAAAGACACTGTTGCTATACCTCGTGATTAGGGGCAAGCTTTTGCATAGCGACCACCGTCTCTGGAATGAACTGGCTCCTTTGTGCCGTTCTTATCCATTGAGAACAGTGTATTGTTGCAAGGCGTCTCTTAAGTAACTAAGCAAAAGCTTGCCCCGAATCACGAGGCATAGTAACAGTGGTTTTAGTATGGAGAATTCAAGTTGTTATGTACACGTGAATTTAAAGAATTCAGAGATTTTATTCAAACTTAACTCACAAATGGCTTATTGAAGGCGCTGGCCAGCGGCTTCATCCGTTTTCCATGATTGCATGCGCTATGGCTAGCCACAGTAGAGACGCTCAGATAGAGCCCAGCTCATTACAGTCAGGACCCAGTGCAGACTTTACACTCTCCTAAATATGCCATGCTGTGGAACACCCAGTCAGTCGCGAGACCTGTGGAGGACGTGATAGATGGCCGGACAATCATGAACCCTTTATTATAAAAGATTGACCGAATGCCAGTTTTGTTATGCAGGGGGTTTGTTTCTAGCACACTTATACGCTCAGCAGCAATTAATGGCATAACCGTTGAGGCATGTCCCCAGTTTGAAATCTTGAAGGGAATAAAACTTTAAATGCAAGCACCAGTTTTGTATGTTTCAGTGTCTGCATAAAAAAGTGCACCCCAGATGCCCCCCTCTGTAAAGAGATTCACTTCAAGTTAGGCTACTCCTGTCCAGCCTCACACCTGTTGTGCGGGATTAACTGCACTGGCACGAAAAAGACACGCCCACCGGTGAAATCTGCCGACGGTTAGTTTCATGTGAGTGTAATGGTTGTCTGATTTCCCGACCTGACACGTGACCTTCCCCTTCCTTTTTCCATTCCCCCAACCTGACTTATTGGGGGACGACACCCCCCATTAGCAACGGTCGTGTGCACGGTGCTGAACAGAATTGCAAAATTCTATGGTTGCAGAGCTACGGGATAGGGCCCCCCCCCCACATCACGTTCCCCTTTTCAGTAAGCCCCGCCCACTGCGCAAGAGGCGCTTGGGACGTGCTCTTCTCCAATGATGTGTTCCAGCCGCGCGTATCATACCCGCGCGTGTTTATGTCAGACTTTAGTGAGCACATGTTGGACACTGTGATTGGTCGGAAAACAATAGGGCGGGGCTTAATGGGATCCGTCTGTTCCGCGCTTCCTTGCCAAAGCTCTACATCACACAGGCTTTGCCGCGGTCACGCGCAGTGAGCATCATCAGGATAGGACAACCTCGTTCTTGTAGATGAGTCACGGGACGGGTGGTTGTTTGATATTCATAAGGGTGAGGATTACCTCTAAGCCCCCCGCCCCCGTCGGTGCGGCAATAGTTCTGTACCGTCAACATTATGTAAGAATACACGTTGTAGATAAATTTTCGACCTGCTCTGCTGCAACCCCATTTTTCTTCTAAGTAAGGTCCATCTCTGAACTGAATGGCTCAAGTCCCGCCGTATTCAGACATCTTTTTGTAATTTGTTAAGCACTAGCTTTTCCAAGGTAATATTATGATATAAACGTACGCATGCACGTGATATCGACAGTGAGAACACGAAGAAGCTACACAAAGGTTGACAAAAATTCATAATGTCAGAAAGTTTACTCTATTACAATCACATGTGCACTGACAGTGCGACATCCATGCTTAAAGAAATACCTATGATCAGCGGCTGAATACTAGTAGTCGGGATTTATACGTGTACATGTACGAACACAGTCACACGTGTGAGATGAAGCTTATATGGTGTTCCTTCAAGTTATGTGCCGTCTGGTCGGATTTTTCAGCCGGCGTCTTATTTTTCAACAGGCGTCACACTTGATTTTTTCAACCCGGTGTTGCATTTTTCAACCGGTGTCGCATTTTGATGTGAATAAACCGCGCAGCCATTACATATGTTTAACATTTACACCTGTTTAATGATTATGAAAACGGCTAAATTAGTGAACTCCGTCAAGTTCCTATGATTGTCATTTCGATGCAAACAACATGCAATCATTTGTGGAAGTTCACATCGCTCAGTTTGATTTCTCACTTTTGCAAGCTTGTTGAGTTAAAAATGCCCCCGTATTCATGATTGCTATAATTATTTGTTGCTGTGGCTGTTTTGGGTTGTAACTGCTGTCATTACGTAAAGTTACGTTAAAAACCAAATCAGTTTGGTTGCGACGCCTGTTGAAAAATGCGACGCCAAACCAAAAATGCGACTCCGGCTGAAAAACTTGATCGGACGGCACACATGGAACACCACAAATTTGACCCTACACGGAGCTAGCTGACTTGGCCTAGAATGATTCCCCGCACACACATGGCAATTTAACTTCGAACTGTGGTGTTACTTTGCTCCCATAAAAGGTGCAGTGATGACCTGTGTTCTGTCGGGTCGAAGGCCAAGGGCATTAGTCGGTCAAACAGGCTTCTACAAACGGATTCTACGCTCGTAGGGTCGACGTGAAGGCTAGGAGGACACGAAAAAGCGTTATTAATGTGGACGCAGTGGCAAGCTTTGACGGGACCATAAGTATCACCTAAATTCCAAGGTTAAAATTAAGGTACATGTAGGCCTAGGCGTAATACTATTACTAATAGTAAATGTGTCTGCTCTTGACTTGTTTGAATTCCCCAAAGTTGTCTCTACTTCTAACATGTGTGAATAGGCGGTTGTGTGCTTCACTGGTCTTGGTCCGGTAACTCGTACGGGTAAGCACTCCCAGGAAGGAGGGACGTGCGACGTGCTCCGCCCTAGCGACAGCGCTCCTTGAAATTTTATTTTCTAAGTACGCAATTGCACGCAAGCAGTCTGCAAACGCAGTAGCCTACATGTATATGTACATGTATGTTCTTGCTCATGCATTCGTGGTGCTCAGCTTTGCAAATCAGGGTAAGAAAAACTATCACAAATTTCCCCTTGCATTAGTTTGTTAGCCATCAGAAAGTGATATAACATGCCCTAGCCTATAGGGTCAAACTTAGCTGTGAAAATATTGAAGCACTTACTTTTTTCAGACTAGTGCCCAGACCAGGGTCTAGGGTGTCAAGCGATGTCCGGATATCTTCCAAATTGTGATCGACGATCAAAGTAGATAATTTCAGTCAGGTCAGCTCGTGCAACCTTTGTAGGCGTATTATGAGGTCTCACTGACTCGGGCTGAATTTTGTCCACTGAATAAAAAAATTCAGATTGTGTAAATTGTTGTCTGGGTAGGAGTCAGGAGGATATTAATCCTAACCCCCAAGCGTGTGACAGTTTTAGCATTTCTGGACAACTGGGAGTTATTGCCGTCATGCAATCAGGGAAGACACTGTTCCGTTTACAGTCATGTTTCCATGCCATCACATTTTGATTTTGATTCACGTGTTTTGAAACATTTCTGAGAAATGGTTGCTTGTTGGTCTAGGCCTATTGCCACATCACTTGGTTTTGTGACCAAAATGGAAATTTAAGAGAGCAAAATACATGTAGTTTTAAAAATGCAGCATTATTTTTCTGCACAAATCAATGCATTACTGGGGTTTAGTGCTGGGGAAAACACCACAGTGAGTTTTGCTCATTAGCATGAAACCAAGAGGTCTGTCTCTCTGCCTGTCCCAGGGACAGGCAAAAATAAATTTGGACAGGCGTTTCTGCATGTTCAAAATTTACGAGCCCCTATTGATTTATTCATTTAAAAAAACCCCGTAAATCAAGTCCTTACATTTCTTTCCCAAATACTGAATGCAGTGGAAATACTGCCTTAGAACACAAGAGGTGTCAGTTTCACACACCCCCCCCCCGAGAAGACAGGTAGTTATAACGCCATGACCGGGAAGGGACAGAAAGATACATCAGTCTCAGACAGAATCTATGTAAAAAATTAGAACGACTACACCTGAAGAAACATTCTGATTTCAAAGAGTCAAGTGGGGATTTTACAAGCAGCCATCCAAAATCCAGTAAAAGTGGGCATTCTTTCCGTCATGATCTAGGTATCCGCGGACTTGACGCGTAGATGGACACATGGCTATGGACGGTTTCCTACCCCAGCCCTTGAGGCGCGCTCCCGTGGCCATATACGGCCTGGGCCGGGCTGGCTCGATCCACTTCGGCAACCTGGTCCGCAACCCCAGGGCCGAGATCCGGTACATCGTGGAAGAGTGTCGGGAGAAAGCTGAGCAGGCAATCCGGGACTGGAGCCTGGAGAAAACCTGCGAAGCGATCGGTGCGGAGGATGAGCAGACTGTGTATGCCGATCCGAGGTAGGTGATTACGTGCTATATTGCATAGGAAACTTAGGTTGACGCCTTTACCATTCGCCCCAAAAGGCGATGGAAAGAAGTTTAATAGGGCTGCTTGCAACCTCTGTCGAAAAAGACGCCCGTTTCAACCCCGTAAGGCCAAGGCAGACTTGAACCCCTTCATATTCCCTGGTAACTGGGTATTCTCCATCGGGGGGGGGGAGGTTAAGTTATTTAATAATAATTTGTCCACTAACAGGTTGTTTTTTTTTTACTCGTGGAGCAGTATTTTGGCAATTATTGTTTGCACTCCCACCGACGCCCACGAGAGGATTGTCAGAGCATCTCTGAAGGCAGGTATGTCTCTGTTTTGGGAACTTTTGGTATGCCGTTTTAATTCACTTTTGCCACATTTTCCGCAGCATTATAATTTTTTTGCTATGCACGTTTTTTCATTCTCATTCTGTTGAGGCTGGAGCTTGCCTTGCAGTTTGATTTTCTTCTTTGTTTTGATCGCCCATTGAAGCAAAATCCGTATTTTGTGAAAAACCGGTTGCCACCAGCATCACAGCCGTCAACTCGTGCTATGAAGAAGCCGAGAAAAACGGATGTTTCCTCTTCTGTGCCTTCAACAGGTAAAACAATACTTACAATACAACACCTACGTGAACGTGTGTTTTGTCAATGCACCTTTGTCTTAAATTTTCCTTCACTTTCAGTCTTGTAATGAAATTCCTTAGGTTGTTTTGGTCCATTTCTGTTCCTATGCAAATACATGTTTCCATATTCATAAGGAATATAGAGATTTCATGTTGGGTTGATCAGATCCCATGCCAGGCTGATTTCGTTTCTTCTTTGGTTATTTTGTTTTTGCTTGTGTGTTTTGGAATGGGTGGACAAATATTATGTGTATATACCATAGAGATTGTAGATGATAATTCAAACAATAATTCAGCTAGAAGTCTGTGAAGTGGGTGGCTTCAGTGGCCAGAGCACATATTGGGATGGATGACATCGATTTCATTGGCTCCTTGCAGGATTATAACTTTTGAAAATCAGCCCCATACATGTCAGCTTCTGCACGTATTGCACATTTCGTTTCTACAGATGGCGGGTTAATTTCTGCTTTCAAAAGGCCAAAACACTCATTTTCATTTTACTCATGACATGAGCACTGAGTATTTTGGCGTTTCCTTCGATTTCCTCCATGTACGTGAGTTGGAAGTACACGAACTGAATCTTGAATGACTCATCTGTCGCGATACTTGGTCAGTGTTGAAATATATGCAATGGTTACTCCTGAGCTTTCTTACCATTAAGGTGACGCACGTAGATATGATCTGTTCTTTGTATAATTTTCATGCAGTTTCCTTTTTATGCAATAAAAGTTGGTATTGCTGTTGGGGAAACCTTGCTGAAATTAAAGAATTCGCTTGTGGCAACGAGGTAATTTCATCAAATTTCGGAAAGAGGGAAAGGTTTGCGCTAGCCATTCCCAAAGGAATAATGCTGAGGCCATACTTTTCTTCTGTTAAACGTTTTAGCACTTTCTGAATTACTTTCCCAGGCGACATGACCCTTCTATACGTTTATTGCGGCAACGAGTGCAAGAGGGCACCCTCGGCCAGGTGCAATGTATTAAGACGTGCTCCCGCGACTTCCAGATGGCAACGGTCGAGTATCTCAGTATATCAGGTAAAAAGTCTTTTTAAACTATTACGTGGAGCTGGTTTTATGGTATAATGCATTTTGGTGCATGGTTGCACAACAAACTATCACGTGGTTTAAATATTACGTCGGTGATACTACTGCGCATGTTTCCAGTTTTGGCGTCCGAGAAGTTATCCGATGTCACGTGCGAGATTTGAAAGTTTGCAGGATGGATCGAGGCTTGACTGAAAGTGGTTTGAGCATTGATCCTTTCTAGAAACGATGTGTTTATGAGAACTGGCGATACACTTGGTTACAGGGAGAGAAATGTCTGCTAGGTGACAGTGTACCATTCTGTTCGTAAGTGCCCTAATTGTAAAGTTTTCGACCGGTACGTCCGTTAACGTACCTTGGTGAAACGTGACAACAGTCAAATAGTGTCTTCTATGCATAAAGCCGCCCTAATCGCACTCTGTACAAACCCCAGGTGGGATTTTTCACGACACCGCGGTCCATGACATCGACGTGATCTGCTGGATCCTGGGTGAGTTTCCGGACGAGGTATTCGCCCTCGGCCACGCCTTCCACAACGAGGTGGCGGACTGCGGGGACGTGGACCAGGTGGCCATCACCATGAAGTTCCCCAGTGGAACCATTGCCACCATCGACCTGAACCGCGAGGCCTGCTACGGATACGACCAGCGCATTGAGGTACCATCGGGTGCCCAGTGTTCTCTCAAGAAGAAGAACTATTGAGTTGTGATGGGCTCTTCTTCCAAGGCCATTAGAATTATAGATTTGCGTCCACCGCCGCCAAAAATCACTGTTTAAAAAAATTTCATTATTTGCAAGAAAACGACACAAAAATCACAAAAATCAGAGTTCTGAATCGTCTTGCAGCTGTATAAAACACCAAAGCGTTTCCTCTATTCATAGCTCAGTTTAGATGGCTTTCGTACGTCCAGAAGTCCACTTGAGCTATATTGGCCGACCCACATGCGTCAGATCGGCTTGCACGTTTTGTGTATAGGTTTTACTGTGGGTCTTGTTTTTCGTGATGATTCCTATTTGACCTGATCCATGAACTGATGTAGAGCTTACATCTAGCTCAACCCTCAGCAAGGATTTTGGTTGTGGTTTGGCCATATTATACTTGACAAATGTCTGTACTTGGAGGTTGAACTAAAATAATGAGTAATGAAAACCTTTGCAAAAATTGTTAGGACACAAATACTTTTATTCTCATGGCCTAAAGGGAACACTGCATTTAAGCCGGTTCCACGAGACCTTTTTTGTCGTGGCAGAATTCTGAGCCATTTGCCAGTGGTTTGGCTTACGTCTAACTACCTGCCCAAGGTCAGGCCAACATAAGACGGCTCTTAAGCTGCCTTTCATTTATGTACAATTTTGGATGCGTTGCGTGCACAATGCGTTCATGCGTTTCATTTTCGTGGACACAAAAATCGACCTCCTTAACATAACATTCGTGTTCGTCAACATCGCCCCGGGAGTGATTTTGACACAGATACGCAACACTTGGCGCAAGTGTTGATGCGCATGGAAAGGCGTCTTTATTCTGTAAAAGTAACCGCTCACAAGTTGAGTCATTAGTCCGATGTGTGCCATATCGTCGTGTTAAAGATTTTCAGCCATTTTGGCATCAACTTTGACATGTCAAAGCATCACAATTCTGGCAGATTCACCCGTGTAAGTGGCTGCATGTCCACGGGGTAAAGGGCCAGGTTGCTGTCACGGGAAAAAAGGATTTCTTTGAATTTGAAAATGCTTTGCCGATTTGATCCTTCTGTGAAATAACTGAAACAATCTTGGCACAAACTTTTGGACAGGTTTTTGGAACCAAGGGGATGTTGGAGACCAAAAACACCAGCTCGACTACCGTGACAAGCCACAAAGACACCGAAGGTTGCACCCAGTCACCCATCGAGACCCTTTTTGCTAGGCGATATGCCCAATCCTACACGTCTGAAATGGAGTACTTCATCAAGCATATCTTAGGTCCGTTGAATCAGATGGCTGCAGGTCCAGGAAAGTCAGATTGTAAGAATCTTGTTTGAACTGAGCCTGGCCCACATGAAGTTCCCAAGTTTTAGAGGAATTTTGGATTCAGCATTAGTACCGCAAAGTCAAGAGCCTCATAGTCGAAGAAATCAAAATTGAAAATCCAGCTTAAAAGTGGGCTCAGTGCTGCGAGAAAAATGAATTCTTTTAATTGTACGAAAAAAACAGATTCCACATGAGGTGTAACATGCGGCGTTGGGTTTTTTTTCTACACTTTTTATGATCACCATGCCTTTTTAATGGGACAGATGTTAAATATATCCCTTAGTTTGCTATGCTCCTGACCCTTTTCATTTGGGGGTGGGGGGTGGGGCAGGGTAGGGGGTGGCAATTTTTATTCTGTGCGCTTCCCATTTTCCCCCTCATACAGGTCTTGATGTGAACGTGGAAGTAACCAGAAAGGAAGCAGTCATGGCGTCTGTGATTGCCGAAGCCTGCCACCAATCATGCAAGCGAGGGATACCGATTCAGGTCAACAAAGATCTGTGACCAGCGCAGGGCCTGGCATGCGCTGGACGTTGGGCTAAGTGTTCCCGTGATGCCAACAAGAAATCGTGATATTGCGAGGTTCTCTCTCCATTTAATTTAATATTCATAAACTGCTTTAATGTGATACTTGAAATACTTCAATTAAATATCTTCTCAAAATGATTGTTCGTGGAAAAATATTATATGAGTTTTGTTATTTTCCGTTGCATATAGCCAGCTATATGTTAGTGCAGGACAATTTAGTAATGGCGAATGGAGGCAGCGAAGTGACAAGAGTCTCGCGGGTCAAGGCCAGGGGTCCAGGGGTCCGCTTAATTAAGGGAACTCTATATCTTTTTTTCAGTGAGATTTTGTTTCAAAATTGATCAAGAGTTAAAATTGGTTAAATTCTTCTGGGTAAAAATATGAAAGCTTCATAGTGACTCATGTTTTTCTGGAATTTTTAAGGACTATTGTGCAAGTCTTTGGCATCAAGCTCAGTGCCGGACGGTAGAACGCTATGGTGGCCCGAGATCCCCAACCGGCAATAGCTAGGCCTATATTTGAATTCAGATGACATCGCCCCACTCAAGGATCAACCCCAGAATTTTGCTTAAAAACAAAAGAAAAAGAAAAATCAGCTCTGAAGTTCTCAGCAAAGTCTCTTTGTATATGAGCAGTAATTTCCAACAATATACCACTGATGTCAAAAGTCTGCACCATTCATCACAACTCCAACACTCGATTTCCTGATTAAGCCTTAAGAAATGAAGAATATCTCCGGCCAAAGAACAGGCTCGTGTCGGCAAAAAATGTCTTGATTATAGCTTGTGGCCTCCTATTTTATACATGATCATCCGTCAAGCTTGTCTGGACTTTACATAATGCACGCTTTTGATAATCTTCATTACCAAACATTGCAACTAATGAAAAATTGCAGAAAGATTTCATTCTGATGGCGGCTGAATTTTCAAAGAAAATGGGATGATTCGAGTTGATATGTCATCTGGAGAAAAGGCATGCCTACTTTCGACCAAGGGCCCAATAAAAGGCTTTGGTTATTGTGATTAACTAACTATAGCCCGAGTGAAACTGAAGAAAACGTAAGTCTTGTAGGAAAACAGTTATTTCCAAAACAAAATACCTAAACTAAAAAAACGAATCCAACAATTTAGCCATAAAATGAAAAGCAGCGAAGCCAAAGAACTTAAACCAAGAAAAATTAAAGCCACAGTTAAAAGTGAATCGTCGAACAAATTGTACTGTTCGGCCCAAACAGTCTATCTAAAATGTTGGCCCACAAACTGACTCGGCGAGCCAATGGGGAGGCATTATAGTCTCCCAGTCACTGCTGATTGGCCAACCACGAGTGACTTAAAGGAACTTTGGCTGGTATGGGGGGGGTTATGCATGTACAGCTTATTTCTCTGGAAGTAAAAACAGCAGCTCAGATGCTGAAAAATGCTGATGAGGGGAAATACAGGGAGCTAACTGGAATGAATGAGAAGTAATGAAAAAACTTATAAATACAATAAGCTGAAATATTTTCTGCTCTTACCTGCGGTAGAAATTTCTTGTGCACTGTTGATTCCTCACCTTGTTATCTCTACAGGATTATCTATTAGGCAAGCCTACTTTATTGCGCCACGGGTCTTCGAAAAAATCAGGTCGTATAAAATTTGCAATGTAAATACTTGTGTCACTTGCGATAAACAATCACCGACAAGTAGCTTCAATTTTATTCCAGGGGAATTTTTTTTGCGGCTTTGAGCGTGAGGAATATACACTGTGGGTTACAGCTCCGTGGGTATACCAATTTCGTCATATATATGAACTCTCCAAAATTGAGTAAAAGGTCAACAGCTGTTTAACAAAACATTGAAATTGGTGCCTGTTCCTGTGATGGACTGGTGTCGCGCTTTTATCCAGCCCGCGGCACGCCCCCGCCCCATGCCTCCCCCATTAACAGGTGCACAATTACCTGCCGTGTACACAGACAGTCACACACGTACGGACATGCATATGTATGTTAGGCAGGCCTACATATAAATAGTGTGTTTACTTCATACTGAGGCTTGGCATGACTTTTCAAACTTCCAGTTCTACCAAAGTGAAGCCAAACTGAGCGTGCATGTCCTTGGACCGATCTAAAGCCACGTTGGTACGCACATGTAACTAGCTCTATAAAACTAAAGATATGGCCTCCCAGACTGACGTGAAGAAGAACAAACTGTCGTTTGCCATCTTCGGCTTGGGCCGCGCCGGTACCATCCACATCGGCAACCTGGCCCTGAATCCCCGCGCCGTGATCCGGTACGTGGTCGAGGAGAGCCGAGAGCGGGCCGAGCAGGTCTTGAGCCAGGGACACCTGCAAGTGGCCATCGACGAGTGCTGCGAGGTGATCACCGCCGCCGAATCCGAGAGGGTCTACCAGGACAAGAGGTGAAAAGTACCCCCAGTAGGTTTACGTTACCCCTAGAACTGTGTCATTTTCACTGAGGTTAGACCCGAAATTCTTGCCAATTACAAGAGTTCCGTATGCAGTCAACACACCACTATGCATGAGTAGCAAGTAGACTCTCAGCACGTGTAATTCCAGATCTGTTAAGTTTATCGTGGAATCATACATTTACATGTACATACATGTATGGAGGCCACAGTCCTTGTTTGCTGAAAAAAAATAAGTTGTACTTCGCCTTGCATTTCATTGGAGTACTGTAAAGTCCATTCAGCTTGTAACAGACTGTCCCAGTGACATGAGGACAAGTTTTTAAGTTTAGATTTTTAAAACTTGTTCGTTTTTTATGTACCAATATATGTGTATAACTAAAGTACAGTCAAACCTTGTTAACTGAGACATTCTTCAGACTTTGCTGATAACTTTGTTGTAATAGGAATCGTGTATTTTCCGGAATGAGAACACTGAAGGACAAAGAATGGGGACCTAAAAATGTCCTTGTTATAAGCAGAATGTGGTTTTAATTAAGCTGCTCAACTTTATCAATTTAAAACAATTGTGACCCACTCTGAAAATGAGTCACAAGTTGCCACAGCCACTTTGGAGCAAAAAGTCCTTTAGAATAATTGTGGACAGTGTAAAACAATAGGAACCCACAGCATTTTTCACCATGGAGCAGTGGTGTAGCTGGATTTTACTAGTGGGGGCGGGGCACAACTTGGGGGCACCAGCATCTTGGGGGGGACACCAGCTTTTACTCAAGTTTTAGTGGTATGGTGTGGGAGTAAGTTTTTGTTAGCTTTTTTCAATATCAATTTATCCATTTTGTTTTAGTGGTGGGGGGGGGACTTGCCGGGGCACAAGAAATTTGTGGAGGGGGCACGTGTCCCCCAGGCCACCTGTCGCTACGCCACTGCCATGGAGTATCCACTTCCATCAGGATGCCAAACTGAGTGATACATTAAAACAAAAAACTCAACTTGATCTTTCCAATCAAATGAAAACTCAAAAAGTGGCTGGGTGACTTGTGACTCATTTTCACTGAGCGGGTCACAATTGGAGTCAGTGGCGGAAGGGAAAACTCCACGATTGGATAACTTAGGTGATTTATAAAGTCCCACCTAGTCTGATGCATAGAGATTGTGGTTATTGTTAACTTACGTGTATGTATGTACACGTAAAACGTGTAAAGTTACAAGATCTGACACAGAAGACTGGCCAAGCATCTCGTTTATACTCATTGTACCTGCACCTGCTCTCTTCCCAGACAGAGGAACATGATAGTGAGTTATAATGGATCCCATGAGGAATTGGAAACTTTTTCAATAATTTTGGCCATCATCAGCCAACATAAAGAGGTTTGCTGTACATTTTGGGGAGTGGAATCAGTTGGGACCCATTTAGTTCTTATTACAAACCAGAAACAAAAATTTAAATGTGTATACCTCTATCTGAGTATCACGATGCCAAATCTGAGTGTAAACATCAAGCCACCATTGTGCGACCTTGCCATCCTTCCTTCAATAATTGTCAACTGGACGTGAGCGGATCAAAGTACACAGTTCTGGTTTTATCCTACCCAAATCGGACAGCACAGTTTCACCTGGCGCTTCGAATTCTTTCATCAGTCTATTGCCCTTGTTATGTGTACAATAACTGTATAGGTCAGCCTAGGTCAACAGCACAGTCTGACTTTTGTTCTTTGGGATGGTGCATTTGTGAGGGGACAGGTAGGGGTGCGGCAGAAGGGGTATGAGTGTACCTGACCAACACCTTCCGAGCGTGGTCCACATTTTGAAAAGGGGTGTCTCAAATCTGTTTAAAAAGCTCAAGTTTTGTCAGGTCTGTTCATGCAAGCCAGTCTAGTTTACATGTATTCCTGATGTTGACATCCGATGCTAATCCAGCATGAATGTTGAAATGAGGAATTTGCTTCATGGTGTTGCCCAATCATGTGCTTAGTGTAGCTCTTCTTCATTGAAACCCCTGGAAAAGACTGGCACAGAGAACTGTCTTGTGGGTGTCCTCGTAGCCAAAGCATGGTACACGTACATTCCAACTGATAAAGTTTCACTGGGTATCCCCAGCCCGTCAAAGTCTCCCACCGACCATCAGTTGACAATATCTCTCCACTTTTGGTGGTAAGCTTAAAAGTGAAAACTGCTGTCTGATTTCAAGCATTCTGAATCTGTTGAATCTCAACCGATTTTATGCTTTCTTGTTAAAAAAAAGGCACCACTGGTGATGCAAAATTCAACCCCACCCCACCCCATTCCATCACTTGGGCTCTTGTCAGTCCCACCATTAAGTACTGCACCCAAGCTTCAGATTTAGGGTTGAAATTTACATGCTGTACTGAGGTTCCAGGCTACAATTAGGTCAAAATTTAACAAGACACAAAATTATTTCTACTGGAGCCGAGCCGAATGAAGTAATGAAAAGTGTGTGTATCTGTAGTTTAACAGTGGAAATATGTTTGCTCATTTGAAAAACTCAAAGTGGAGTGGTATAACACGAATGTCGTTTATCGTTTTCCTTAACCACAAAGCAGGAAAAAATACAATAGAGATAAACTCGTCGTTACGATGTTCATTGTACACTCAAATAAAGAAACCCCATTTTGTTTTTCAAATTACAGGAAAGCACTATAGGCTGATCATTAAATCACCTGAGCTGAATCTAATTCTTTGAGCCCCAGGCTTAGGATATGATCACAACCAGAATTTTCAGTCGGCATTATGTTAAGCCCACGGGGTAATAAGTGTGCAAATCAATCTCATTTTGCAATTATGCATTCAAGCTTTTAATATCTTACAGAAAATTGTTAATTAAAAAAATAACTACATGTACATACATGTACATGTGTACTATACAGTGTACCTGTGTTAACCTTACACAGCTAGCACGGACCTGTGAACAAAATAGGTCAACATGTATGCGATGCAGGTTGTGTGGACTAAACCAAGTCCACACAAGGTTATCTGCATTCAGGAAAATCATTTTAGAGGCATTTGAGAATTAAAGTTATGCAAAAGGAAGAGGAGCAGTCAAGGAAACCGTCAACAAAAGTCTGGCCTAAGATAATGTTCACAGCACAAGAAAAACAAGTATTTAAGTTCACCAAGTTTTCTGAACTGCTAGTACATGTACATACACGTAAGAAGAATAAATACATGTACACATACGTAAACCTATTTGCACATGTGTACAATATGTTCTAGCCTCATCAACATGTACATACACGTAAGAAGAATAAATACATGTACACATACGTAAACCTATTTGCACATGTGTACAATATGTTCTAGCCTCATCAAAATTCAACTCACATTTCGTGAACTTCCTGTTTTTTTGAATAACACAGGAAAGTCACAGGTTCTTGTTTAACCTTCCTGTGGTTGAAAAACAATTGGGCAAAATGCTCCTTCTCCCCACTAGGATAACTCCTTCGAGCTGGATTTTTGACGATGATTTCTTGAACTGTTCCCACCGGAAACCCTGCATGACCCCTCTGAAGCTGTCTTTCGGAGAGGGGAAAACACTTTGTGGACGTGGTGTGCAAGCCCCCACAACGTCTTCCAACCCCTAGGTACTTCTTTTCTTCAGAGGTCCACACTGTGCATGGCACGCTTGTGCATACATCCCAGCTTGAGCGCGAGTCATCATCTGAAGTTGAAAACATTTGCAGGGTACTAAGATCAAACGCATGCTCCTGCTTGCACCGAAAGACCTCGGGTGATTTGTTTGGGGTTTTCAAAGTTGATTGTTATTTCTGATCACCCCTCTATTCTTTTTGGCTTTAAATACCAGTGTCGATGCCGTCATCGTATGCACCTTCACACACACGCATGAAGACATTGTCAAGAAAGCGCTGTTGGCAGGTAAAAAGTCATGTTGCCAAGGCAACTTTACCACATCAGACCCAAAGTTCATCAGTTTAGTGCTTTATTTACAAACTTTTCATCCGGTCATCATTTTAGTTTATCTCATTTTAAATTGCAATTTGCAAGAGAGTTTGTTTCATTTTATTACCACCGGCAAAATCCCTGATTAGGTATTTAATTATTATGCCATATCATTTTCAATATTATCAGAATATAGATCTAACCATTATTTAATCTACCCATATTTTATACACCTTTATCTGTTATGCTAATGAATTTATTTATCATACGTATAATTTTATGTGTCTTTTATATATGCACTTATTCATTGGCTGCAATAGTGAAATGCAAATAAATTAACTATTCTTAATTGACTACTTCCTGATTTGCAGTGGTTGTTTATCTATTGAAACCCCACCTGTACCCCAGGTAAATCTGTCTTTTGCGAGAAGCCCATCGCAAGAGAGCTCAGTGCCACCAAGTCATGCTATGATCTAGCCGAGGAACGTGGCAAGATGCTCTACTGTGCTTTCAACAGGTGAGTGTTTGCAGTTTTTTGTTTAGCTTTGAATGGCAAGAAATCAGCTAGCAATGCACGTCAGTCGTTACCTTTTTATGTCGATTGCGCTGTAAACTTGGACCTCACATGGGTAGCATACGTGGCTAGCTGAGCGTTCACCACTCACGCTAAGTTTAGACACTGTTGGAGGAAACTGCCTTGCTCATGGACAGAAGCATGATGATCCACCACAGTCAGGTCCCAAGCAAAGTGCAGGAGGCTCTGCCGTTATTCAAGTACGTCATCCATCTAACTAGCTAATCCGCTAACCAGCATTTTTTCTTTTTGCTTCCACTATACAGCTGTATGCTCATAGTACGCATGTTGTGTTAACATGGCACTTGTCTATCATCTGTAGAGTTTGTATCATAAATTTGTTGGAATGGCCAAGTGTGGCCTCCAGCTTTGCAGGTACAAAGTGTCGTCTCCCTGGCCGACTTTCCAAAAGAGACATCTACTTTGTGTAACATGTACATATACAAGTATATATGTCTACTGCGCCTTATCTAGATGCGCATTTCCAACCTGCACATCAAAGGGTACTTTTGGACAAAGGGACGCAGCAAAGTTCTGTAGCTGGCTAGTCCTCCAACACTTCCGGTACCAAGTGCCATTGCTGCCGGCAAAGGACCCCACAGGTTTCAGCCCATTCCCTTTACAGCAAAACATGTTTAGCCACTGCGGTATGGGGAGAAGACAGGTGAGAACCCCATAGAAGGCGGCATTTGTGGAGCAGTACCCATCTCTATTATTGTCTTGTTGGACAGTTCCGCGGTTTGTGCATTTTGGAGCTTGCGCCTCAGCAGATGATGTGAGCCTGTATACTAGATGGAGTACTGTCATTCTCCACAATTTGAATTTCAGCCAGTCTCAGGCCGTGTCCAAAACGGGCTTCCAGAGCTACGGCTCTGGAACGAAGACCTAGACCTAGCTCTAGACAAGAGATTCGGATGCAGCCTCAGCTCAGTTGTCGGTCATAAGTAGGGAAAAAACTTGCCAGAGTTTTTCCATTGTTTTACCATCTTAGACGTCAAGCTTCTCTCTCTTTTGCCCATTTTCAACAGGCGCTACGATCCTTCAATTCGACACTTGCAGCAGCGCATCCGAAATGGTGAAGTAGGGCAAGTCCAGTGCATCAAGACGTGCTCGAGAGACAGTCCATTCCCAAGTCTAGCCTACTTTAAGATGTCAGGTAAAATGAAGCAGACAGATACGGTTCCCGGTGCAGAGTGTTGTGGGGATGAACCTCCAAGCCCAGTGGCCACATGCAAAGCTGTTTATAGAGAGTTGCGACATGACTGTCACCTTTGTTGGAACCAAATGCACCAGAGCGCTTGGACAGATACATTAGCCATGTGCCCTGCAGTATGGTGAACAGCCATTTTGTTTCCAAAATCTGAAGCCAGCGTACTTGATTCTCTCCATAGAAAGCTGTGGCTACATGTTGTACGACATATCTGTCCGTTTGTCTTGTCTTCTGGATCGCAGGGTATACCTGGAAGGATGAAGCAGGGGCGTAGCCATGGGAGGGGGGTGGGGCGGCAGACGTTTGCCCCACAAATTCCCGATGGCCCCTCCCCCCCCTTAAACGGATGAATAGATATTGAACAAGGCTAACAAAAACTTGCCCCCCAAAAAACAAACCCTACTGAAAGCTGGTGCCCCCCATAAGATGCTAGTGCCACCCCCCCTTGTGCCCCCTGCCACTTGTAAAATCCTAGTTTCATCACCGGGATGAAGTGATGTTCATAAATGCCACATACGGGGTTGCTATGGTGAGAAGCAAAGAATAAGGAACAGTGCATTGTGTTCCAGCTTAACTGTTGAAGCCTGTTCTGGATGCAATCTAATTGACCTACAGGGAAGCCATGTTTTATCATTTTTCGCCGAATCTATTGTATCCAATGTAAAATCCTGTTAAATGGAGTGCCAGACTTTTTTGGGTTTCAAACCACACTTTCATTTGTGTTTCAATGTGGCTTAAAACATTTACATGCCGATATAATTGTCACAGATTTCAAATTATTCTAATTGAAAGCTGGTGTGAATTTGTATTGAACGTTTATTTTGTTCCTGTTATTTCAACTCTGGGGTTCCCAAAATCAAACTTTTACCTCACTTTCAATTCAAGAGTCTATTCTACATCTCCCCTCTCTCTCTTCCTTCCACCAGGTGGTATTTTCCACGATTGCGGCGTTCACGACATTGATGTCGTCTGCTGGATCCTGGGCCAGTACCCGGACGTGGTGTACACCCAGGCACATCTTTTCCACCAAGAGCTGGCCGAGATGGACGACGTGGATCAGGTGGCCATCACCATGAAGTTCCCCAGCGGAACCATCGCCACCATCGACCTGAACCGGGAATCCAGCTATGGATACGACCAACGCATTGAGGTACCTCGGTTCCCGCTTCCACTGCCTTGTAATGTGTTTCACTAGAAAACAGAGGGGACGTTATTTTATCAAAGACTATCAAGAATTCAATCCACTTCCACTGTATGTAGACTGCGGAGAAACGACACACATGTGATTTTGAAAGGACAGCTTTATCCAGGATGTACGTTTGATTGTAGAAGGCTTAAGCTAGTTCTCTTGTTAAGAAAATAAGAATTCAGAATTGACCTTTTGTTGGCACATTATCTCTACTCCATACAGCTCCCATTGCCGTATCAGATTCAAAGTAGCCAGTGCTAGGATGCAGCTTGTTATCATTCCGTCCTTCATCGTTTATCCTTTCCTTTCTTGAAGGTTTTTGGTTCCGCTGGAATGTTGCAGACTCGCAACGTCAGCCATCAATTCAACTTAGTTGGCCATCTTGGCAAACAGGGCTCCTCTACGGAGCCAATCGCTCACTCCTTCCCCCAGCGCTACGCTGAGGCCTACGCCAACGAGCTGGACTACTTCATCGATTATGAACTAGGTATTGAATCTGTTGTCACTTTGTAGGTGAATGAGAGCACTAGATATCCCAACTTACCTGTACCTTAGCACCTCGAAATATGAATAATAGTCTCCTGAGAAAAATTTTTCCACCTAAAGTCAACTTCCAATTTGTCAAAGTTGCTGGGACTAAGCCAAATAAACTCATTATAACACAGAACCCTGGTATTAACAGACTGACAAAAAAACAAACAAACAAACAAACAAAAAGAGCAGAAGAGTTATTAGAAAAGACTTAAGATCCAAGAATTTGCTTTTCATAGCAGCATTTTGTTGTAGATCTATTGCCATTTGAAGTGACAGTGGACTTGTCTAGTAATTGGACAAACAAGTGTGCAAACGATACCAGTAAGTTGGAGTTGGAGTTCAGTAACTGTTATTAGTTTGATATATGGATATAAACTTAACTCCAACTCCAGTCAGAGACCGTGGTTAACCACTGCCCTTAATCAGACTTGCTCGTACTGATCAGTGCATGTCGGTGCTATAGCAATCCACCACTTTGTTCTCCCTTCCCTTTTCAGGTCTGGACACCCATGTCGAAGTCTCTCGGACAGAAACCGTCATGGCAACGATCATTGCTGAGGCCTGCGAACAGTCCTACCGCAAGGGGGTCCCTATTCATATAAAAGACGTGATGTAAATAGCCTTGGTGTACTCAGACGTTGTGTCCGAGATGCTAGCGAGTGCACAGCTGACCTGTCTCAAATTTGTCATGTCTCTTCATGAAAACGAGAACATTCAGATAGGTGTTGCAGTCAGTATAGCTTCACAGCAACTGAACCAGGTTGTAAAAACCAACTACATATTTCCTATGTAAAATTGGATGATTTTTCACTTGAGAACGAACATAGCAGATATATGTACGTGAACCGCAGCAGTACAAGGGTGATTTGAATCAAACTTGCAATGTCAATATTTGTTTGCAGACAGAAATAAGATAAGGTTTTAGAACTTAAGTACGTGGTACTTGGGAATTTGTACTGGTTCGCAGAGGGTTGGTGCTGGCAAATTTTAAAAAGTAGGCAGAGTTTTTACTAAACTACTGTGCATTTTTCCCGGCACTTGCCTTTTGTTATGCAGTGCCAAATACAACTATTGTCTATTACTCAGGGTTATGACCGAGGTTTGTAAATATTCACCATTGTGGTGACAAATGGCTGGAACCTTGTTCCTGGTTTTGGGAATTTTAATGCTCACTTGACATCAAACCAAGAGCATCTCTTCTGTTTGTTTGGTCAATCTGTGACTTTTTTGCACTTAATTGTGCCTTAACCAATGGGAGACTTTGAGACGCTTGGTGGCGACAAACAGACCGGTCTTTATTACTAGTTCCGAGGATGCGTGCGTAGTTCTGAGCATGTGCAGTACCTTGAAAAAGGACCAGTGTGTTGGCTGCTGCCATCATCTCAAAAGTCTCCCGTTGGTAGACTGGTTTAGCAAGCAGTAACAAGTGCACTGTTCTTCAATACCAGAAAGCTCATTTCAGGAATTTTATGCCTTCGTGCAATGGAACTTTGGGCACTCTTCAGTTTAACAGAATTTTAATGAAGTTTTTAAAAATCTGGATTACCTCTAGTCTGGGGTAATGAGTGTGTGATATCAGTATTTTATGTGGCGTTGCACTGCAAACCTCGGGGCTATTGGTGTGCTAACTGCAGAGACTAGTCATCCGTAACTATTCAGGAGAAAATTCAAGTTGACTCCCATTAAATCCCATTGGATTTTTCAATGGGACCCAATAGGACTCAACTGGATACAATAGGACCGAATGGGATCCCATTGGTTTCAATGGGGCATATTCACAAAGTTTCATTTAAATATATATTTGATTGTTTAAAAATGTAGTATTGAAATAAGCATTTTTTGCATGTAATGCATAATGCTTAGAAGATAATTATAAAAAAGGAATTCACCATTAATTTTCTAATAGCTGATATTACCTAATTATGTGGACATAATTACATCCATTTTGAACAGAAACCATATTTACATATGTTTATTGTACGCTGACTCAATATAACATTAGGAGTTTTCGTATATATTTACTAGATGGACATGAGCTAAATGTTTCTTACTTGTTCCAGAGAGGTATACAATAGTTAAATAAATACACGCATTATATGTCAATTGTTGTTCTTGAGAGAAGGAAAGAAATTCATGTAGATTTTGATCATATCTTTTAACCCTATCCCCTAGGGTGTGTATGTAAAATCGGAGGATTTGAAACTGTTAGTGCTATCGAAGGGTCAATTACATTTTGGTAAATGTTAAAATTCATTTCTTGGCAAATATTTCCCAGTCATTGTTGCAACCTCTTATTAATGGCAAGTTGGTGTGATGTTTCCTGATTGAAGCTTTGCCGACTATCTGATTCAGCATGTCCTTCAAGATCAATTTTTCCCCAAACTTTGCCATTCTCGCTTCACAGATTAGGTTATTTTCTAACTGCTCTCCAGCTTTCAAATTGGGGACATTATTTTGGTGGTGTTTTTATTAAATTTTGGTAACATTCTGAACATCCCGATATTCTCAAGCTGTTAAATGCATTTGTAGATAATGGCAAGCAGAATGCATGAGAAAGTCTGGTTTTGTAATTAAGAATGCTGTGAATTAGTTACAAATCCACACTTGAACTGACTTGAACCATTGCGTCAAAGAAAGGAACTGCGTCGATTCCTCCATGCTTGAATGGAGATGGAAGGCATGAACTTTCTAAGGGGTGTCTTTAATTTGTGGAGCTGAGTTTATAAGATGAATCACCGTGGATTCATTATTGTTTCTGTAAGGATGTACGCGTGTCGCACCCATTATCAGTTCCCCCGCCCTGCCATTTCGTGCAGACAAAATGACTTCAACATGGATAGTTTAGACGATTTTTTCCCTTAATCGGACTAGTTTCCGCAGCATCAAAGGAGAATTGGAAACAAATTTTCGTTTTAAATAACTCTCTGAAGAAAGTTGAGTCCCCGGTAAGACACACCCATGAATGTTCCTTACTAGTACTACCATGGAGGTAGAATCACAGGAGTGCAGTTCTCCAGACAAATCGATATCACCTGTGCCATGGCAGCATAAAATATGTCAACATATAACTTGTTAAAACAACATTTGAAAGTGCAGAATCCTAATTCCCAAACTTTATTAAGGATTCATAGTTCCAAAGCAACACATTTCCTCAGGCTTACAAATACGATCTTGCTCTGCACATTTCTTACACTAAGTGCGACCTCAATAAAGACAAGTGGCCCCGTTGTTAATATCTTTAATCTCGCCTCCAATACACAAATTTGTCATTGCTTTATTTCCATGCTTTAACTTTGTACCAGTTATTTTTTATACCATGTGAAATCGCAAGAACCTAACACTAGTAACAGGATTTCCAGACGTGCGCCTTTATCGGTAAACTTATCGTCTGCACGGTTTAGTGGAAAGAGAGAGCTACAGGTAGTTCACGTGTCGCATGGAAGCGAGCAAAGTTGGCAAATGTGGCATACAATGCTGCAGTTTGGTACTGTAAACACGACTTTATTTTAAAGCAGCCCATCTAAACCAATCAGAGGCCGGATCGTGGAAAACGCCCCCCGTCTACCCCTGGTACCCCGCGCTTGGGTTTGAAATCCGCGAGGCTTTTCCCTGGTTGCGTGCCTTAATTTTAAGCACAGTCAGCGGATAATGGCCGGGATGGTCTACATGTGCTCATGTAAAGCGTAAATAAACACTGCCTGACCAGAGGTACACTGTACTTCGGATGCTACGTGGCGTGGGAATAGTAATTAATCAATACATTTTCATTGTGTTAAGGATTGGACTCGGCGGTTGACGGGATTTATGTGGAAACTTAACTTGGCCTATTTACATGGGTTGATCGATCATTTGCAGACGGAATAGTTTAGGCCGTCTTTCTAGAATTTCTTTTTACAATGGCGGACACATTGCCAGGTAGGTAGGCCTACATGTTTCCCTTTGAATTTGATCAGAACACGGTACATCAGCAGATCTTATGATCGGGAAATCGTATGGAGCTTAAAACACAGCTAGGAATGAAAGTGACTCAGTTAATTCACGTATAAACTCACAGCCATGATGACGGAGAAAGCTTAGGGTTTACTGTTTACTAGTCGCCAGCATTGTAATGTTGAAACTGAAATTTGCTGTACATACATACATCATTATTGCTGATTTCCTGGACATACAATACATGCGTGACGAGTTTAGCCCTGCCAGCAGATGGTACCTTGATTCAGTGTTGTAGTCGAGACCATCACAAGACCAGACCCAAGACCATGGAAATTTTAATCACGATGTTTTTGGTTGAAAATGTTTTTTGAGCATCTCTCTGTCTCTGTAGCCGAGATCCAGAACCTCATTGAACTGTGCCAGACTGCGAAGAAGAATGCGCACTGCCCATACAGCAAGTTCAGAGTGGGGGCTTCGCTGCTCACAAAGGACGGCAAAGTTTTCAGTGGTAAGATATGCACATATTCGTGCAGTCATGTTACTTTGCCACTGAGGAGAAGGGTCTGTTTTTTCTCTCTCGTTCCCACATGTATGACATGGAGGTAACACTCCTCCGTAGACTAACTTCTAGCATGTACTACCGAGGACGATAGACTTACCACTGAGGACAGGGAAACACCCTATGTTCCTTTCTGTCCTCCATTGTTGAGGAACGCACACACACACCAACAAACACACCCTTACATATGTATACTTGTGGGGTATTTCCTTTGTTCTCGTATACAAAACTTCCACACAACACAGAAAAAATTTCAAATCAGTGACTGCCATTTCAACCAAATTCAGTTTCGTGGGTTGAAATTTGGACCGTATGTCCCTTATATAAAACACTTCAATTTGCGATGGATGAATGGCACTTGAAAATTCCTCCTTTTTGAGTAAATTTGAAATATCTATTTCGTGAAATTCTTGTGGGGTACCACTTTAGTACCCCAGAAGGATCAAAACTGGCCTTGTGGGGTACCTTCCATTGTTCCGGTACCCCACAAGGCACCATGTTACAAGCGCAGAGTACCATACTCGGTGTTTATCGTTTCTGCCTACAGATCATGTGACCTTGTAAAAGCCACGAACCTATCTATTTTTCCTTGCTTTGGAATGAGTATGTGTCTCTTCCTTCTGTCCCTAGTCATACAGTGTCAACCGACATGGCAATATTTAAGTTTCTATCAAAAGCACAGAATTTTTATATTAACGAGAGTCCTTTTAAAAGATTGTTGGTTACTCTCTGTCATTTTCTCTGAAAATCAGCCAAGATGGATGACGACTTTTTTACTGGAGTTTTCTCATTTGCTGTATATCCTATTGATGTACACGTGTAGTGATGTGTACATGTACACGTGTAAGCGCGTTCTTGTAAATACAGAAGGTTTTCTCAGCAAATCAAGCATGTTGAGCTAGTGGAAATAAGTTTTGAAAATCATCTTTATAATTGTGGAATGATAGTTGAAAATTGAGATAAATGATTACAAGGATTGTCTGGGAAATTCTCTAAGATTTTCCATCCTGCATCTGCACACAGAATCTTTACAAGATGCGCAGACTCAAATGCTCCTTTATTTGTCAAAGTGTCGTTGACATAAGGAAGGCACCCTGTTGAAATGCCCTTTGACCCGCCGACAGCAAAATATTGCAGGCAACATCGGCTAAAAACACTTCCCCAACAGAAAAAAAATTTCAAGGTCCCGACAAACATCTGAAATATTGTATTAACTTTAAGATTTGTCTTCCGGTAGCCAGCAAAATAAAGTGTTGTTGCCTTGATGTAAAATTTATGCATTGTGGGCAAGTTTTTGAGGGGGGATGTGGCTGGACAGATATGCAAGTTATTTAAGCAATACAAAGAGACACACTGAACTCTTAACTATCACAATGTCCTTTTGAAGCTGGTTAAAAATGAAAAGAAAAATAATAATGTATGCTGCTAACAGCTGACTGACAGTGTCTCACAGAATGTGCCTGTCTGTCTCTCCTGGTCCACTGAAAGGGAAAAGATTACATTTCCCCACAACGAAGACGAATTGGGGACCTAGGTTTTGCTGAACTGATGTCAACAGTGATCTTGTATTGCCATCAAACTGTTTTGTACATGTTTGCATGGACTTGTCTGTCAGGTTGCAATGTCGAAAATGCATCATACACCCTAGGACTATGTGCTGAAAGATGTGCAATCTTCAAGGCTGTGTCAGAAGGCTATAAAGAATTCCGGGCCATGGCTGTCGGCAGGTGAGCACAAAATGTTCATTTAACTTCTTTTTTTCCTTAACATCCAGGGCCAGCGGTATTTATCCCCACACCCTTTTTGACCCTACAGTTTTGGCCATAGAATCCTACCCCCTGCCCCCAGAAGTTTGTACCAAAACAAGCGAAAATGCTAATTAAACAATTTTGTTCACTTCACCAATATTGCTCGTGACACGTAATACATGCCAGCTATTGACTGTGACTGTGACTTTTTTGACAATCAACTTAGCTATTCCTTCATTGCCTCTGGAGACCCAGGTCTACTCATGTGCCCAATGAGACAAAAATGACATGTAGAAATTGTCACTTATAAGCACCTGTTAACATTGCCCACTTCCTATTTAGTCTTTGGGGTGGTTTAACCTTAGTTTTCAGAATGGCTTTAATGACTCGAAGACATGGTGAGAAGCCAAACTTCAATCCTTGCATAAATGTACTTCCGAAAGTGCAGAGCTGATTTATTTTCTGGCTTTCCCGACATAAAGAGAACCCTGCTTTCCTTAAAAAAATTCTTCCCAACTATTCTGTAACTGAAAAAAAAAGTCCAACAAGATAATGCAACTTGTTCTTCCCATCTTTTTCCAATCTGGCATTATTGCATTCAGCGATGTAAAAGACCATTTCCTTGCACCATGCGGAGCCTGCCGACAAGTCATGCATGAGGTAAAGTTGGCTTTGGTTATTTCATGTGTTTCACTCTTCCCTTGTCGAGTTCCCATTACACAGGTATTACCCCGTAGTGTTCTGATTTTCCTTTCAAAAGTTGGCTTTCCAAGGCCTAACCTTTTTTTTTTGGAGTGTGGACGTCGACTTACGTTTCATGCAATGCATGGTATACAGTGGTCCTACAATGTACACTGTATCCAGATCGGTCCCGAGATTTCTATTGGTACAGGTCCTCGCATAACAATAATTTCACGAGATACCATTTGCCTGATAAAGAAATGGAACTAGACTCAAGATCTTCAACTTGACATCTGTCGTATTGTTCTATATATTCAGGGCGAGAGCCAGAATGGGCATTGTTATCTATGACGTAGCCCCAGACAAGCCACACATAAAATAGAACACCCGGATATTAGTCCCCGCATTCAGTGGGAAAAGTTACAAACACAGCCTAGTGTCTGTAAGGCTTTGCTATGAAGGTCTCCACCTTGACTTCTTTTGGTGTAGTTCGGAGGGAAGAACCTGGAGGTGTACATGACAAAGCCGGATCTCTCCTTCCAGCGGATTGCCATGCATGAACTATTGCCTTATGGTTTCGACGCCGAAGCCTTGTCGCACAAGAGGATTGAGGCAGAATAAGGCAGTGTGGTTTCCATGCAAACTGAACAGTGCCTACAGATCATCCATTGAGCCTCCCTGTTAGTTTCACCTTTCCATGCTGGAACTTTTGTAAAAAAAAATGTTATTTTTTTAAGCGTCTGTGCGGTGGAATTATAGGTCATACGAACGAATTACTTCCCGTATGCCTTCCAAAATGTCACTCCTATACACCACTTATATATAAACAGCACTTTGGATTTACCTTTAACCCAGAAATGAGTGAAAAAAGATTCATCTTGTCCATAATTCATGTTTGCAACATCAAATAAGACCTGAGTTTTTAAAGATGAGGTGGGTGTTGGAGGTGCTGTTGGTGTTGCATGTTCTACATCTTAATAGCTGTGCCAACTACCTACCTACCTACCTGCCTAGCTCAGACTAACACTAACACTGGGCATTGTTATCTATGGCACACCTAGACAGACAACTTTCCACTGCACAAGATCATATCGCTACAGCGGTTTCGACTGAAGACTTCACCAAGATCAAGAGATCAAAAGAGATACGTCCATGGTGCTACCGCAAACCTACTTTCTATCAGACTAACACTGTGTTATTCTGCACAGTGTAAAGTGTAATCGTTGTCTAATAAACCTCTTTGCATTAACCATGGCGCGGTCTCTATTTTAAGCATGGAAGTGCTCTTACCACTTTTGCTGTGTTTTTGACGGACGTGTATTTCTCTTTATCAAAAGCTACCATTCCAGCTAGATGTGTATTAAAGGCCAAGTCTCCGTTGATATTTATTTACGAAATCTCATTCCAGAATGACGCATGTTGTAATATGTATTTAAAAATACATGCGCCCAAAGGGAATGCGTGTGTTGGAGTATACGCGCAGTTGGCCATATCGAAAAAAATATATATCATTGGATTATAACTGTGCCAAAGGCGTCAGTAATGCCCCTAGCAGGGGATGACTTTTTGTATTCGCCATGGCATTGTCAATCACTATATAGCGGCCTTGACTAGTCTTGTATATCGCTACAGAAAATGTCAGTCCATCGCACTGTATGCCCCAATTACAACCATGATGGACTTTTGTAGATACAAAAAATCACTTCACTCTGGTGGCAGCGTACCGTAGCCGTTTGCCCTTTCCAGATTTCCTGTCCCTAAATATTCATGCACCAAAGCTATGTCACGTTGACGACGCGATCATACTGCCGTAATATCTGATGTGTGTTGTATATTAAGCCAGATAGGGTCGGACCACATGGGACGACCTTTTAAGGTAATCTATTACCAGTTCATAGAGTAACATTTATTTTTGTTACGTAATGTAGGTTTCAAAATTGAAACATTAACATTTAAAACGTTGAAAGAACTATTGGCAAGGCACTTTCTCGCATGTTAATACTAAAATGATTTCAAAAGTAACCATGCAATCGAGGAGTCTTAAAGGCTCTATTTTCTTTGTTATTCCAAGGATATCTTCCAAAACATTTTTCTATTTCGGTACAACGTTAAAATAGTTCGTTTATCCATTGCGGAAAAAAGAGCAACAAAAAGATGAAACGTGTCTTTCTTAAACGGCCTCGAAAAATCAAGATTTTATGGTGTTAAATTTAGGACGGGATTATAGTGGACCATTTCAATGAACTTGCTCTGAAAACCATACCCTGTAAAGTGAAAATTATAACGAAATAAAATTAGAAAGTATGTGACCAAAAGCTGGCGAAAATAAAATGTACGTCTCCCACAATCTCAAGCTGTAATCGTCGGCGTAACTATCCAGTGCGTGTTGTGGTGGTGTTACTGCGGCGAATCGAGTCAGATTGGATCGGGCGCCATTTGTGGCTCAGACAGGCCTGCAGTGAACACGTTGCACACCAGGGCCGTTTTCCAATACCGGTACTCAACTTCGTCTCCGTCTCAGTCTTCGTCCCCGAAACCAATCATCCCAATTGTGGGCCTGAAGCGTTTAAATCAAATTGGATTACTGTAAGTTTTTGCTCTCTTGCATCTTAGGCCTATTTGATGTTTTTTGTGGCACTATTAGACTAATTAGTGCGCTTACAGCTTCAAAGTCAGGTAGTAAAAAAAACCAGTTGAAGCCTGAGACGGAGCCGAAGTTGATTATTGGAAAACGGCCCAGGCTACACTTCTTCTACCGACTCAGCCTTGGACCATTTTGCAGCAAATCATCTGTAGCAGTGAACACAACCGCCAGATACATAAAACAAAACAATACGCATCTACTCGAGGTGAACGTAGCGACCAATTTTAATATACCAGACCTTCTGTGCTTATAGATAAAAGCGTAGGATGGGCATGGTGGACAACGCGTTGGTCGTCGACCTGCGAAGGTCATACACAAATTGTACTATTTGCCTTATGCAAACTTGTTTGCCAACTCACCAGGAACGGCGGCGGACAATATACATGTACCGCTACCACGACAATAGTCACACAGGCCAGGTTTGACCAGGGGAAGTACCATTCGAAAGCAGAAAAAAACGGGGTGACAAGGGCATTCTTCTGCGGTCGCTCTACAAGCAGACCTCCTCTAAACCGTAAGGGGGCGGAAGTATCTTCCTTGCATCAAGTTGAAATCATGGATTGCTCGTCATTACCAGGTGGGTTGACGACACACGGCACTAAAGATTGACCATAGGTTCAGTAAACTCAGGGCCAGAGTCGGTAGATGAGATTATTATGAGATAACCGGGTCCACATTTGCCATGTATAGACATACACTGCAAAGTATTCAGGGGTGACAATTTGTTGGTGTTATTCAGTGTTACCTTTAACAACCTCCAGTGTATTGTAACACAGGTGCGCAAAGAGACACCGGTGGTGTTAAAGTAACACCATATGGTGTGGTCATCTGATAACACCAAATAAGTGTTGATTTTTAACACCTCGGTTTTGCAGTCTGCTATAGGCCCTGCAAAGCATGAAAAGGGGGTGGCGCCTGAAGTTGTTTCAGATGGGCACCCATGTGAATAATTCTTAAATGGCCAATGGATACTGACTTTGAGTATATTTATATACCAGTATGTTTTAAAGTTACTTTAGATTTCCATTTGAACATCTTCACAAAATAATGAGTAGCTGGATCAATATGAAGGCATATTATTATTAAAGGTAATGTGCACACTGTGACCTCTCCAGATTTCATCAGGAAGTCGTGCCAAACTTGTCTTGGCGAGCATCCAATCCATGTTACGAAGCCTACTGGAACATTCCCCCCCCCCCCATTTGTGCCTAGCCTGTGAGAAATGTTGTCATGTGAACGGTGAGGGGCCGGGGGTCATGGTGTTAAGCCAGAAAAAGCCACATCCACGGTGTTCTGTGGGCTCAGGCATGCGTTTAATGTCCGACACTGACACAAGTCCAGGGATTTAAGAGTGTCTAAATTTCATACAGCTACGGTCCTCTTTCCCTCGGTATATGGACAGCTGAGATTTGGGAACTGATCAAGCAGAGCCAACAAGCCAAGAAACATTCGCACTGTCCCCAAAGCAAGTTCCGAGTAGGCGCCTCCCTGCTGACGAAAGATGGCAAGGTTTTCAATGGTAAGACACCTTAAAGGATCCAGGAAATGATTTTTTCTTAGAATCACCTTCCTATGTATCTCTGTACTCTTCTTCCACGTATGAAGACTGTTTGACATCTTTTTTGAGTTACGTGAACTGAAACATTAGAGATTGGTCAAGCATTTCTGGACAAGTGGGGGCGCTTTTGCTTGATGTAAATCTAGGAAGACATGGTTCAGGTTGCATGTTTTCGTGTTCGAATTGCGAACCCCAAATCTGCTATTTCGGAACATTTCTGTGAAACGGATTTTTGCTGGATTATTGCCATATTATTACACGGCAATAAATTGCCCCCAAAAATGAGCAGTGGTTAAAAAAGTCTAGAAATTTTCTGTGCACAAATCAGTGCAACATCGAGATTCAGTGCCTTGGATGACATCATCGTTCTGCTTGTGAATATATAAATAGGGATTAGCATAAAAAAATTAAAATATGGGTTAAAATTGCAACACAAAAATTTAAAATCAGGTTAACTGAAACCCAAAAGTGCAATTTCAAGGGTTTTTAGTAAAATTTATAAAAATATTTCTATTTCCTGGTTCCTTTAATTTTCCTACCCTCATGACACACAACGCTGTGATAGTCACGACTGTCTGTTGTCAAGATTGGTTTAGAACAATGATATTTTTGACAAGCGGGCTGCTTAACGCACCTTGACCTCATGGTCTACAAAAGTAACGCATACAGACTGTATAGGCTGATAAGTCCCTGAAAGAACCTGGGTTAGAAGATTTGGGGAAATTAACCTTTGCATGGTGTTGGCATCAGCTCAGAAATAGAAAACAAAACAAACCTGACAAAACAGAACCTGGAGCTAAAATTGGCGTTTAATCCAACACTGAAATGAATGATAAAAAGGAAGCATATTTGTTCACAGAGATGAAGGGCTGATAAAATGAATGCGTTAGGTTTAAAACTGTCTTGGTGCAAAATGTTTGTTCTTCAGGTAGTCACTTTAAAGTTTTCTCCCAATCCTTGCCTAATAACCTCTCGCTGAAAGATTTATGCACGTGACTATATAAGGGTGGACACGTTTAAAATGTTTGGACGACAAAGTTCCAAATCCGTTTACAGATTTTCCCAAAGTTTAAACGGAACCGCCCCTTTGAGAGGTTTGACATTATTGTAAACGATGCTTGGTACGTGCTGTTTTTTCCCTTCGGCATCCATGTACTTTTTGAGAAAAAAGTGGATTCTTTAACAATAAACACTGCCTGTTTAAATGCTCTACATTGTTGCATTGATCGGCTGGACCATGTGATTGTTGAATTGTATAATTATGCATATACAGTATATGAAAACATCGAGGTAGGCTCGGCAGCCTCTGTGAAGTGTTCGCTAAACTTTTAAACGGTATGGGAATGCTTTGTAAACGTTTTTCAAATACGGCCGTTTCACAATAGGGCGCCTCCAAGAGTTTGCAACGCGTTAGCCAATCACAATGCTTGAAATTTGTCGACCCTTCCTAAACGCGCTTTGGGTCGACAACTTTCGCGCACTGTGATTGGCCAACGCGTTGCAAACTCTTGGTGGCGCACTATAGTGAAACAGCCGTATTAAACGTAAATTCCCACCCTTCGTAGTAACATGTAACCCTGATTGAACGTGACTGTTAGTCGTTCTACATATGAAGCAAGATATGGGACGGAGAGCACCCCCCCCCAACATACACCTTTGTGTTGCGGGTCATTGTTTGATCGGAATCTCAGGAATTCTTTACAGACATCTAAGGGGGGTGTTAGGTAACAATAGTCTAGAGTGTATATAGGAATTAGACATGTAGGGGGTACCCCTCCGTTCCAGATCTTGCTGGGTATATCGTTCTGACAGGTTCGTTGTGTCAGTAGTCGTGCGCATGCTCAGATCTCTACAAATGCCTTCTGTTACCACGTTAACTATGCCCTTATAGGCCTTTCTTAGTATTTATGAAAAAATACTGGCCTCTCACCTCGTTTGATCTTAACAATCAACTTTTTCCGCCGGATCTTGTTTGTAATTGCTGCAACACGGCACTGACCAATGCTTCGCCGTGTTCGCCGACAGCGCGGAGCCCTATACAGCCTCGTTTTCAGATCCAGTGCATAAAACGTTTCTCAAAATATTGAGAAAGGCCAAAACTGTGCGCTGCATAGGACAAACTGTATTAGCTTGGAATTTCTTCAAATCGGCGATATTTAGCACACAGTAATTTCTTATTGGTTTTCTACAGGTTGCAATATCGAAAATGTTTCATTTTCGCTAACGGTTTGCGCTGAGAGATGCGCCATATTCAAAGCTATATCCGAGGGCTATAAAGAATTCAAAGCCATTGCTGTGGCCAGGCAAGTACAACTGTTTGTTTCAGCAATACATTTATTGCCTTGATTAAAAATTTAGTCCAACAAATTGATTGCCGTCTATGAGTCATTTAATCTCGCAAGAGCCTGGGTATTTTCTGCCAATAAACCACGTCCCGTTTTACAATTACGGTCTCGACTTTCAACAATCCATAGTGAATGTGCAGTGTCTAATTGCAAATTTGTTTTAAATCTAGTGACCAGAAAGACAAGTTTATTTCACCATGTGGCGCTTGCCGACAAGTCATGCATGAGGTCAGTTAATATTGATATCAACCCCTGACTTTTCATCACACTTCAAAAAAAGTTGGATATCTCTTCTCAAGCTCTGATTTGATTAAATTCTTTGAGGAGAGTTTTCGGAGTTGCGTCGTTTGTTTTCCAGACACACTAGAAAGACAACGTACTGCGGCAGGAATCTTGATTTCATGAGTGCGTGGGCCTCACATCCAGAACCCCAATGAAAATTCGTTAGATGGCATCTAAATCCATAGGTGTTACTTTGTCTGACCAGTCGGAGACTCAAGATAGATTATTGTACTGTGATTTCTAATATTGTATTATGTTTTTTCAATAAGGAGTGATCTTATTCTCGTCAAGTCAGTTTCTTTTTGTCACAGTTCGGCGGGAAGGACATGGAGGTGTACCTTACTAAGCCAGACCTAACTTGGAAGCGGACATCCAATGAGGAGCTACTACCCTTTGCCTTCGATGATATCAGAATATCGGTTGAATGAGACCCTGCCATGGAAACAGCCAGTACCCTAAGGAGCATGGACCTTCGAAAACTGCAATGATTTAAAGTGATGTAGAGCAATACTCCAGACAGTGTTTACCTAATGCGCCTTTGGTGTTCCGAGATAACTGCCTATGTATAGCCCAAGTTTCATACAGACACAGATTACTACCACCGAGACTGCACAAAGAGGGCGGGGTTAAAGGTTAAAACAAGTCACAATACTCGCATTAACGCAGCGTCTCTAGTGATGAGTCCCGTTGCATGCGGTTATGCGGTCATTTTGTTTCATGCGCTCCTTCCATTTGAGTTTTATTTCATCATTTTTTTCTTACTCAGATTTATTAGTTAATCGCACCGTATAAGTTTTTCTTTATTTGACTTATTTTGAATGTTAATTATAACGTTTATATTAGGTACTTGTTATTTTTCTTCGTGTTTTTCTTTTTAGCTTCGCATTTAATCAATAAACCGCAATTTTACTCTTCCTCTGTTATTAAGCAATTTTTAAAAATGGCCTTGACGATAATTCATGTGTACATTCCAGAACAGATTAATCGTTTAGAAACTTACCTGTGTATTTTCCAAACGAAATAATCTCCAACGGTGACCGAGGGATTTCCGATGAGTAAGGATGCATTTCCAAGACTGTAAACGTGGTCTTCATCTGAAGAGACAGTGAACTGTGGATCCCAAAGTAACCGCTCCTCTCGATAAACTTGCTTGTTGGTGTTGTGGAAGGCTCTAACTCCGCGCAGTCATATCGATAGCATGATAATATGAATTTAGCACATTTCAGCAGCTGACCTAAACATAGAACACATCTATTTGGACTCGTGAGGAAAGGACGGCCGTGTGTGCACCCTATACGGTCCACTGATGGTGCCAACTGCATGTCTCAGTGTGTGATTTCGTAGGTAGGCGTTGTGCATGCATGTGAATAGAAATAGAAATGCACCCAGCCGATAAGTTACTCAATTGACGGCCTGGACTGGGACTAAAGCTCTTATGTACATGCAAAGGTGCATATATATCCAGATGTCCAGCCAAGCTGGACAAATAATGGAATCAATCCCATGGCTCTAATCACTGGCAAAGATGTTTTGTTCTCTTGTGCAATATGGACAATAGTGGAGGAAGGGACTGGTTTCAGTCGGAGACACAACTCAATAGGTGAGATTCGAGTCAAAGAATCTCCACTTTCTTGTCGTTTCTCCTTGACCTTAATACCCGTGACTGAAGCATAGTCCCAGTTTAACCATTCTTAAATGTTAAGCCTATTTGTAGCCGTAATTCCTTAGGGGGATATGATAGGTTCGCTGGTTCAGGAGTCGTGCGCATGCCCAGGTTTCCTTGCCTTCTGCTAGCAAGTATCGAAATGACCCTGTGTGCAATTGGAGAAAGCCAAAAATCGCATTTCGCATGGTATTATCTCGGAATTTCTTCTCATGCCACATGCCTTAGTTACTTGCACTCAGCAATATTCAAAATGCATATTTCGAATCTTTAGGCACCAATGATTGCACAGTGTTAGATAAGCACCTAAGGTTCTTGCAGTGTAGTGTAAATTTTACACTTACTTCATCATGCCGTATTTTGCCTCCTGATCCTGTGACTCTTCTGATCTTCCTCCATATATCGGAGACCTCATTTGTCATCGAGTCTGGTATCCACAAAACCTGGGCACAAAAGTTATCCCCTTCCCCTTCAAACGTGGACCAGCCTGATACGAAAGGTAGTTGCCAGACACAGGCATTTTTTTTTTACAATGAATCGACGAAACACTGCTACTGTGTTCGTGTCACGTGACAATACTTACTGTCCGGCATCAGCGGTGTTGGGCCGCTCCGTTTATCTGGTTTTTAAATGTAACAACTGCTTTGTTCAAGTTTATGCAAAGGCAACTTTTAACCACGAGGGCCCTAGTCAGCCCCTAAACGGCAAATGTGGTAGCCACATATTTGTGTGTTCATTTCACAACTGGCACACCATTTCAATTTCGCAAGAGTGACTAAAATAAAGCCAATTACATGCTTAAAAATCATACTAGTTGGAAGCCACAGGAATGCAATAATATCAATCTTTTGGAACCCAAATGGTGCAATGACCCTTGAGTATAAAGGCTATTCCGCACAGGTGTATGTAAATATACCTGTGCCCGTAAATGACAAGTGCGCAGGCTCGATACACGCATCCTACCCGTATTAATTTAAGAGGAGACACCGTGCGAAGGCACCCTAAATGAGATTTGAGTAGTTCGTAAGAAAACTATGAGCTATGGCAGACGCCATGATGTCATCTCTCCTCCTTTGCCGCCATCCTGTGATTAAGATGATTCACGGGCGTGTACGGGTTTGAGTCTTGTCCCGTTTTCAGTGGCGTAAATCCGTGCTAGCGATCCTTTTCTAGGGATGGGAGCCTGACCAAAGTCTTGGAATTGCCAAGTCTTGCAAATTCAATCCGATGGTTTACACCACATTACATTGGGGGCTTCATTACGTAAGCATTTTCCACGGTAGTTTTATCATTATCTAATTCACTAGGTATGAATTCCCAATTGCAATGTTCTTGTAAGTTTTATTTTCGACTTGTTTCTATAATACTCAAAGTTTGGGTTTGGACTGCAAAGAAACCTTTGAACCATAAAAAATAAGACATTAACCACACTATAAAACGAACCAATTCTAAAACTCTACAAATGATGAATGCTTTACAATTGCAGTGTTAATATTGCGCATTATGACGGATAGAATGTTCTATTCTGTGAGGTAGAGCCGTATGGAGTGGATAACTTCGTACGCATGAATGTGTCATAATCATTATTCGTTTTATGCAATTCTTGTAAACGTTTACAGTAAAATTGTCACAGTGTAGACTGAAGTTACTAACGACGGGTTTGAGCAAGAGGTAACTTGTTCCTTTACTCTGTATGTGAACTAAACATTAAACTCTTCATACGTCAATCTTCAGATATCTGATATCTAGACCTACTGGGCATACAAAAAATAATTGCTTAGCAGAAACAGCTAGGTTATTAGTCAAAGTGCCATACAAAGTGTACTGCTTGAGACTAAGCTATTACTTGGGACACACGAAAATTGTTACGCATTGTTCTGCGCTCGAGGAGACTGACCAACTGATATTCGTAGGCTGTGGGCTCGATGCCTACTCCCTTCGGACTATTACTAGACACTTTTTATACCCTCCCGTTTGGTGGCAAGCATGGCTTTTCCAGACCACGAGTCGTCCAGAAGCAGTCGCAAGAAGGCGTCCTGCACCTCACTGATCCTACGAAAAAGATACAATATATGGAAATAATCACTAGGGCATATTCCAAATTTCAAAAGTTGAAATGTTCAAGGTGTGGTAACCTCTAACATACTAGAACCCCGCAGGTTGTATATTGTTTACGGTCAACAATTGCAGTCTCATGAGGACGAGGTAGACCATTGGTCTGACCATTGGTCTTGTATATCATGGCAAAGGTGCAAGGGGTATTTTGGGCGCCACGCCTTCTGGAGAGAGATAATCATTAGGTTAGGCCATCGTTCCAAATCATACGACGTTTCTTTGTTGTCTTTTCCAACTTTTGGGTAAGTGGTGGGGTGGGTTACAGTCCTCGAAGACGGCCGCACTCTTGAGAACAGTCAAAGACATCCGCTACGGGTTCAGTTTCTCTGTGACAAGATACTCACTCCATGACGCCAAATGTCGCCTTGAGCTCTCTCGCCTGCTTCACGCCTGACTCTTGGTCGCGATACAGGGCTTTCTCTAGGATATGCGTGTTGGCAAGGCCGGGGCACAAGACGCCAAAAGTTATGCCTTGCTCAGCGAATTGAGGATCGGCCTGCGAGTAACAAAAGTACGTGGAACTGTCTAAGAAGCATTTTTTTTGGTAGTGCATTGAGTGTACACGCTAGATTCGAACCTAATTGCCACTGCGCATGATACGGAACCAGCCGGATACCCGACCAAAGTAACTGGCCACGTTCGATCAGCGACCATTCGTACACCACCGATGGATTTTATCTGGCACCCACGATGCATTTCATGCATGGGTTACCAACCAAAATCGAGCAGTGTCAAGAAAATGGTCACTGATCGAAGTAATAATATTGCTGGTTGAATGGTAGACAGCTTTAACTGTTGAGGTCCGGAATCTTCCCATTTCCTCTGAATTTCTCACTCTGCTAAGGGGTTTACTGTTAAATAAAACAACTCTACCTGTAGTCCGTAGCCATTTCTATAGCACTTCAAGTAGTTCTTTAAAAGGATGTTACATTTCCATGAGGAGTACCATGTTGGGTATTTCAATTTGACTTACTGCTAGGGACTTGGTGAATCCCACGACGGCTAATTTTGAAGCGCAATAAACTGGTATATGAGAAATGGGCATCAGACCTAACGAGGGAGAAAACAAGAACGAAACCTATAAAGCAGAAAGGCAGAAACATCAGCAGAGGCCTTCTCTTGTAGTCAGTGGTACTTCTTGCGTGTCGCTATACAGATGACAGAAAGGTCAAACACAAATCAATTCCAGGGTCAAGTTGACAGGTCTGTGCATTCGGATCTACGGGTCTCAATACGAGCCGTCATGAACCCGGACCCTAAACTGGAAACGAAGAAAGGGTAGGTGGTGTCTATCATTCGGATGGGCTAGTTCTGTAAGATGCATTACCTAGCTGCTTTAAGACTTCACTGGATAGAATTTGATTGGGGTGACCACGAGGTGACCACGTGCAGACTGAACTGTGTACCTGCGTTGATCAAGCAACCCACCATGCTTATAGCCACGCCCTCATAACTGCCCCACAAAATTACGTGAACTTGGAAATCAGTCTGTCCCGCTATACTTAAGAACAACGGGGATGAACGAACCGGAGTGGAGACGCTCTTACAGAGGCCAGATTGGTTTGGTTTTGCGTTTTGTGCAAATACAGTATATAGTCACGAGAGTGACACATCATGGCGACGCGCGAGGGATAAGAGCAGGCGAGAGAGGGCGTTTCATCACTGACCTGCCTCAGACGCTATGTTGATGATTTTGCCTCCGTTTCCGCCGTTTGCTGGGTTCATGTACTTGATGGCCGTGTAGGTGCCTCTTGTTGATCCCACCTATATAGAAAGATAATATTTAAAAGACATTCACTAAACTGGCCATCAAAACACATTCGATGAAAGTAACGGCATCTGGACACACATTATAGGCGATTCGCAAGATTGGAACTGCACAGAATACACGAAATACACGCATCCTTCAATACTGGGGCATACCCGAAGTCAAACATACTCACAGTATTGACACTGTAGCAAATTTCCGGCTGTCTTTCATTGACCAGGCCAGCATTATTCACCATCACATTGACGTGGCCGAATTTCTCGATCGTCTTGGAGAATGCAGCTGCAAGGAATAAATTAAACTTAATGCTCTGAAGGGAAATAATGGAAGCTGTGGTAAGTCCAATGCTGTGAGCATGCATACCCAGTCAGGGATAAGAAACTGATTTCCTTAGGGAAGGCGTTACCTTAGAATGGTAACCTAGCGTTACCTTTCTTGCATAATGAACATTATGCGCAATT